GCGAGCTCGTGAATTTATTTATTTATTTATTTATTTTTGCAAATTTTTCAATTTTTATTGATAAAATTTCAATTTTTTCCATTTTTTTGGACGAGTTGGCTCGTGAGCTCGGCCCACGAGCCGCTCGTCGAGCTCGGGCTCGTCATTTGACGAGCTCGAGCAGCCCACGAAATGACCAGTCCGAGCAGCCCACGAGCCGAGCTTTGACGAGCCGAGTCGGCGCCCGGCTCGGCCCATTTGACATTCCTATCGTCATCTATTATTTTTCCTGTTTGGCCTCCATTTTATAGAATTGAAAATAGGTGAAATAGTATTTTTTTGAAAAATGAGTGGTTAAAAAAGAATGAAATTTTTTTGATTTACATATAATATTATTTTATGCAAGATTGTGTGATTAAAAATAAGAGAGAGAAAATGTAATGTAATAGAAATTAATGAGTCCAAACAGGGGCTAAAGATGTCCAAAGTGACTTTTCTTTAACAAGATTGATGGATTGAGACGACAGTAATCCGAAATTGTAGCCATTTGTGATTTCAAAAGGCACAATTTCACTTTGTACCTAAACAAACAAATAAAGCACAAAACACACTGCTTCGCTGCCTTTAATAGGCGCCCTCCTCGATTCGCACACCCGCTGTTCGACAAAAGCGAGACTGAACTGGAAACACAGTAAAATATTACAATTTACATAAATTGGCACCTGGGATCCGAATATCAGATAACCTCTCTCCTAATGATTAGTCATGTCCTCTTATCTCCATGTCCCCTCGGCCGGCCTATATTTCCTTCTCTCTGTTCAACCACCCCACACAGTTTGAAGACACGTATTCAAGTTTGATATTATAATCATTGAAATGGGTCAAACCCATAAAGAAAATGTTAAACACATATGACTTATGAGTGAAAAATCGAATCTTTGCACGAATTGCCGCCTTTATTTTTCAGTAAGAAACCGGGCACTTTAATACTTTATATTGTTATAATTTACACGTATGGTGAACTACAAAAATATGTGAAGTCTAAGTAAAGTATGATCCATACTGTTGCTTTGTTGTTGGGCTTTTTTTATATACACGAAAAGCATAATGCGAGGTTGTAAAGATGGCGTCTTTATGGGTCATGATTGTTGTTTTTTCCTGTTACCAAAGGTTGACTCGGCAAACTCAGTTTTCTTTTTTGTTTTTAATTTTGTGGCAAACTGGGTATCTGTGGTTGATATGGTTGGTAGGCTTCCATTTAGAAGAAATTTATTTATTTACTTAAATAATAATTAATGATGTGATGAGCTGTGGGCATCATAATGTCAGGGATTCTGTAGTTTGTAATCAATTGAATTGAAGTGGGTAAAATTTTGGTTTCGAGGGAAAGAAAAAAAAGAGAGGGAATTTATATTCAATTGTTGGGCATTTATTATAGAGAACCAGAACTCAATTGAATAGACTATTTGCTTTAAAAGAATCGGAGTGAATATTTTCCAGAAAGGAAGAGGCTACTGAGGTTTGAAAGGTCGGGCTCCGGATGGCCCCTGCAGCTAAAAGTACTGGATTTTATTGCGAAGGAAATGAATGGTATTCATTATCCGTTTCTTTCTGTCTTTCAAAACCCATTTTATATTTCTGAGAATTCTGTTTAATTCTTGATCATCCATGAAAGTCCTCGCTGACAGAGGGGAAGACACAGATGTGCCGTTCTATTATGCTAAAAATTTGTGTTCTATTTTCCCAAGAATTTATACACTCACGTATTCAGTGTTGTTTTATGTAAAATTTTACATCTAATTACTCAGCTAAAGTTGCTAGAGCGAGGATAATTAATTTTAAATTAACGTGTGTAGGAGTGATGTTATATTGTTCACTGCAATGGAGGGTAACGGTATTGGGGAGAGGGAAAGCAATCTTCACTGGAGAATAGAACTCAAGTCTTTTTCCATTTCATATGTAACTTGACCAGGGTAATGCTCCCTTGGGACTTGAAGTCCGGTTTGGTTCATATTATAAATTAACTGAGATTGGACTGAAAAAATTGAGTGGGTTCGGGTGATTGTCTTTCACTGGAGATAATTTTTGGACTCCATCAATTTGATATTAGATGAGTACACAACCAAGCTTGTCCTTGATGAGAAGGGAAATATGAATTTATGGTATTTTTGGATTTTCTAAGGAAGGTATTTGAATAGAACAATGCTGGCTCCTGTACAGGCCACACACATTATAAGGGGGGGGGGGGGAATTTTTTTTTTTTTTTCAAATAATTCCCCACCCCTCACATAGCACGTGAGGGGGCCTGTAAATTAGGCATTTTTCATTTGAATATGCCTCGAGATGATGTTATTGTTGAATGTTGTGCCAAAATGGCATGAAAGTTATTTTTTTCCTTTTAGGTTCTGCAATTCGAGTCTGCCGAGTGATATCATAGTGGTGGTGGATGGAGTAAGCTTTCATCTTCACAAGGTAATTTTTCTTTTCATGATTTAAAATCATGCCAAAAGAAGAATGATGATTAGTTTGTCTTTGTATGAATTCTTTGATAGTTCTTAAGAGTGGCTTCTTGCTGATACTGATGTGCTGGGAATGTAGACATTCATTTGATCAACTGGGAATCCAGATTACATCAAGATGCTAACCATGTAAGAATACCAAAAACCGTAGTGCAGGGGGGAGAGTCTCCTCTTTGAAAATGTTCATAGTTGAGTCTAGGTTTCATCTTCTTATAAGAAGGACTGAAGGGGATCTGAGGGTTCTGTTGCAGTTTTAGGAAGTCAACAGAATGTGGTCAACTTTGGCAGTTCATATGGTTTGATTCTTACATTTTGGGGTTTTACATTGAGAGATCTTTGGAAAAATATGTTGTTTCTCGGTTTACTCATCTCTTCTGATGTTCGGACATTTCGAAATGATTGGAGTACTCGTGCCGGACATGACATGACATGGGTATGAGTATGGGATATGTGTCGGATCTTCCAAATTTCAACCGGACACTTCCCCGTTTTCGCTTCTTCTTTCTTTTTCTTCTCCTTTTTGTTCCCCATTTCTACTCTCTATAAACCTAACACCGCCTCCGAGAGGATAGAGAAAGGCAATGGCGCTAGTTTTCCCTCTTTATTCTTCTTTCTTTTTCTTTTCCTTTTCTTCTTCTTTTTTTCCCTCCCTCTTTCCCTCTCTGTATTGGTGGTTTAGGATTTTATTCGTATAAAATGAAAATGGGCTCCATATAATGTTACTTAGTGCTTCACTAAGTCCAAACTGCAATCAAATCCTTCACTTTTTATTTTATATAACATTTAGTAATTAACATCTCATAATTGAAAACTAAACCTCAAAATTCTATTTTATTCGTCTTGACCCCTTATTCAATAATCGTTTCCTTCTTTGTGAACAATTGTTTTTGGTATATTCAAAATGACATTTTGGGTTAGTAAAAAAATTGAAATTTGAAAAACACACCTGTGTTCGAAATTTAGACTTTTTTTAACCATGTCCCCACATCCTACATTTTATAAATAAAATATCTGATGCTTAGATACGTACCCATACTCGAGTCTGAGTATCATAGTTTATCCCTATCTTACATCATAGGTAGCACTTTGATTTTTATTGACAGGTTTCAGACAATAGCAACTAGAAGGCATTCATTTTTTTATTGATTACGTTTCAAAATATTTATCGGGGATATTTTATAATGATTTGTTTTCCTACCACAATAATCGCAGCTCAAATATTTGCTTGTTTGTGCTATGAAGTTGAACCGAACGAGACTCCCTTCTTGGCTCTAGCTTCTGATTGCAAAAAGTTGAGCTTCTAGATTGGGAATTTGGAATTGAGATGTAATTTGTGGCACAAGTCCCTAATATCAACCCCCTTTGTTTAATTAAAGCAATTTTGTTGTTCTTGTAATTTTTAGACCATGATCAATTAAGGAAAAGCACGACTTTGTTCATTTTTGGCCTATGGCCACAAGAAAGAATAAAGCAAATAGTTTGGTCCGACCTGAGGTACATACTGTTATTCTGCTATTTACCTTCCAGTCGTTTTTCTGCACGCTTGTTGAAGAAATTATATCATTATATAGGGCAGAAGGTAACATAATCTTTTATGGTAAGTTTTGGGAATTTCATTCCGTAATTTTGAGAATGATAGTAGGGTAGTTCACTTTGCATCTGATTAAACCCTTCCATTTCTAAGTAGTTTTTGTTCTGATAGTTAAAAGTTAAATTTCTTAATATGGAAAGCACTTTTATAAAAGTAATTGTAAAATCATGTCAAATCACTAAGGAGTGTCAGCATGGAGTTACTTGAATTCCTACACTAATGATAGTTCATTAGAGTTATTGGTTGTTGCAGGTATAAGGTTGTAAAAATACGTCAATAACTGGGACTAAGTATCACCATATATATTTGAGAGAAGATGATTTTTGGGTAACACATGTTTCTAATTAATCTAGTGATATTTAAATGATTTTCTTGGGTCCCAGCTTATTCCAATGACTTGTAGTTTTGGTTCTTATTTATTTTCCACGAGGTCTTCGATAAGTTCCCTGGAGTGTTTTTTTTATGTTTATCCCTTTCTCGCCTCTGCAATTTTCCATATTCCTGTGTGTTTCTGCACTTGGATGTCTTTCTAATTGGTTAACAGCGTCATTCTCAAGTTTTTCATATTTATTTTCTGGTAAATCACTCTCAGTAGCTGTTGTATTCGTTATTCATCGGGATTAAGTGTTTGTTCGCTGCCTCATAAAAAATGCTTCTTTTCCAGTTTCCTCTTCTATCTAGGTGCGGGAGGATAGCAAACATTGTTGAAGAAACGCAGATTACCAACAAGAAGACTATCATGGTTAATCTTGAAGAATTCCCCTGTCAATCTGACACATTTTTGGCTATAGTTAAATTTTGTTATGGTGGTCGAGTAGAATTGACACCAAGGAATGTGGTAATGGTGTATTGTGCTGCAGATTACCTCGATATGACAGATGATTATGGAGAAGATAATTTGTTGTCCAAGTCAGAGAGTTTCTTCCACAAACAGGTTCTCCAAAACTGGAAGGACTGCATTTTGGCTCTCCGAAGCTGTGAACCAGTTATTTCAAGAGCAGAAAAGCTTCATATAGTTGGTAGATGTCTGAACGCTTTATCTGTTATGGTCTGTACTGACACCACTCTGTTCGGATGGCCTATGATGATGTATGGTAGTTTACAGAGCCCAGGAGGTAGCATCCTGTGGAATGGGATAAACACCGGTGCAAGAATCCATAGCATAGAATCCGACTGGTGGTTCGAAGACATCTCATATCTAAATGTGGCGTTGTTTGAGAGACTAATTCAGTCGATGGCGGCCAGAGGAATACGACCCGAAAATTTATCTGGAGCTATAATGTATTATTGCAAAAAGTATCTTCCTGGGTTGGGCCGTTGGCAGGGTGGACAAAGCGGCATACCCAGATCGGTTGCTAGTTTTAGCTTGACGCCTGCTGCCGTTGACCAGAGAGTTCTCTTGGAAAGTGTTGTGAAACTGCTGCCTGAAAAGCAGGGAAAATCTTTTTGTCGTTTTCTGTTGGGACTTCTACGTGTTGCATTGATATTGGGGGTTAATCATACATGCCAGGACTCTTTGGAAAGGAGAATAGGGACGCAGCTAGAACTTGCAACCCTTGATTGTCTACTTATACCTAGTTACTCAGATTCCGATACTTTATACAACACTGATTGCGTTGAGAGGATGATTAATCATTTTGTATCTTCTGAACCAAAAGTAACTTCTGTTTCTCCAACATCGTTGAACCTAGAATCATCACCATCATCTGGACGGTTGAAGAGAGTTGCTAGATTGGTAGATAACTATATTGCGGAAGTTGCTTCTGATGTGAACTTGAAGCTTGGACAGATACGTACATTGGCAGAAGCCTTGCCAGAACCTTCAAGATCTTTGCACGATGGACTCTACCGAGCACTGGATATATACTTTAAGGTTC